TAATCTCGAATTACAGAACATGTTAATGAAAAAGAATTGAAAGAGTACCAGTTATAACGAACCAAATTTTTGTGTTTGTTTTCAGAGGTAGTTAACTCAGCAATCTTTTAAAAAGCTTTCCTCTGAATTTTTTATTGTTGTTACACTCCTCAGTGCTAACAAGTTAACAGTTCTGAACTGTTTCCCTCATTTCTAGCTTGAATGACTCTGTTGAATGCTTTTTTAATTGTGGTTTTTGAACATATTGTTCAGCCTAATCTTTAAATGTAAAAAGAGTTGCAAATTTCTCATATTTTGTTCATTACATTCGCTGTCTGTTAAGCGTCGGTAGGTGCGACAAAACTCACAAAGCATGGCGCATATAAAGTCACTGTCACATGATAACGTTTACTTATATTCCAAGTTTTTAGCGTCAACCACATATGTTATACCAGTTTACTTACCGGTATCATGGTCACCTTCTACAACAAATTATTCATCATAACATTCAGTTGTCTAGTTTGGTAATCATAATGAACACCATGACCTACGATATTTTTCGACTACTTAAGACAAGGCTGGTTTCAAGTAGATCTTCTAAGCAGTGCATATCCTTAACATTTTGTAAACTAAACCGTGAACAGTTCGTTTCTGAAATACTGATTATTACTTTTATGAACAGCGATTTTATACACAAGATTGAAGGCTATTTTTTCCTTCACCGATAATTTACCTGAAATATGGCTTCAAAATACAATTACTTCATTTCAGAAAAACAAATTATAGGATGGTTAACTTACAAGTTATATACAGGCTGCCCGATTTAAGTTAATATTTCTCACAGTCAAATAGTTTTTCAACTGCCCAACTGTGTTGTCAATAGTGTTTCCCATGGAAATCTGTCAGCAATTACCTCGTAGTGTGATATACAACAAAAATGTGCCACGAACTAATGAAAAAACTTAAAAGCATAAGTAGTTGGAAATGGCGTTTACCAATTAATTTCGTCAGTCAGATCAGGGCGATTTAAACGACAGAAAACCACTTGGCTCCTCTAAGGATGAACTCATTAGTTGTGTGGATGATCGAATTCGTCGCAAAAAGTCACTTTGACACCTCGATGCCATATATATATATATATATATATATTAGAACTGTTGGTATTGGTTGGGTGGCTTCCAACGGAAATCCTGCTGATACCAAATTGAGAAGTTGAAAAGTCTATTCGCCTGCTAGGAGTGTCACATTGAATCAAACAGTTTGTCAATATTTACTGATCCATCTAAGTCAACCAACTAGATTTATTTAGTTTGGACAGTTTGACTTTGTATACTAAATTTGTCCAACCTCAGCAATGATGAACCCATCCCCAAACGAGTAAAATGGCTCCCCATTGCTTAGATCACTCTAATCTGATTAGTGAAGTCTATTGGTGATCACGAATAGTTTCCAGCTACTCATGTTGGTCAATATCATGTTTAAAATCAAACTATGAGATGCCGATTATATTTTCTGATTCCCAATGTAGATATAACCTATTACCCCTGGAGCTAAGTTTTCTGGTTTCTGGCACTCATCAACAAGGTGTGTGTAAAACCATGGGGAAGTGGTCTTCTCCTTGTGCTACAGACTTGGGTCATTCTGATTTAAAGTCAGAGACTTAAACCTTATAGCTATTCAGGCGATGACTGACTCCTTGTAGGACTACAGTGTGCACATGAGTTGATCCCTAGTAAGCAACCCATACAGCTATCGAGCCATTAGTGCTTAACCGAGAGCGAAACTTATCGATCCCTTTATGAAATGTGCAGAAGTAAAGTCATTAATTGGTTGAAAATAAAACACTTAAGGAAGTTTGTTATTATCTGTTCACAATTTATATAACTTAAACTATCCGTCATTCGTTCTTACTTGAGTTTTTTCAAGCTTGGGAAGGTTTATCAAACTTTGTAACACACTCAACAGGTTTTTACCGAGGTCAAATATGGCGGAAATTCCTCTGATATGGCTGAAAATGAGTATGTTAAACTGAAATGTAACAAGCCTTCAAGAGTTTCTGATAAAAATTTTGACAAACTTTGAAAGTCTACTTGTTATATCCTGTTTGTTAGTCTTTCTTGGCACTCACGTTACCAGTCTACACAAATCTACACACATAAGCGTTATCTCAAGTGTGTGTAACACGTACAATCAACTGGAGAACCTGTTGATTTTGTAACGGTTGGCAGTCTAAGCGCATAGAAATTAAAGTACAGACAGAAGTCATGCAATTCGATCCAGTACAACAGCAGGAAATTACAAGTATCAGTGAATAACACCTGATACAAATTGTTTAAAAGGTGGCTGTCTTGACTCACTAGCCTAGTGGATAATTTTTTGGGATTTTGGGTGATGAGTACTGGGTTCCACTCTCAAAAGGAAAACCACCGCTCACTGAGGTCCTGACGAATCCTAAATAAGAAAAAACACGTATACTGGACTCCACTCCTCACCACCGAATAAACTGAAGCATAATCAATATTCAAGCAGTATCGAAGCCTCCGCAGAGGCGCCCAATTTCCCGACAGGGGTCAATCATTTCAATCCAGAGTAGCAACGGGAAATTACAAGTTACAATGAATAAAAGGAGACCAGTTGAGACTTTATTTTGTTAAGGGGGAGTTATTTTCATCTATTGTAACTTTCTTTGCACTAGATGCTCCTCATTTTGTAGTGTGCGGCCAATATATTGATTCCTTTACTATGACATTACCAGTCTGTCATAAACTTGGGCTTCTTGAGTATTAGGTCCACGATCAATAGATAACAAACTAGGACTAGCTAAGCATTGTACAAAAATCTGCTGGTTGGTGCCATAAATCTATCCCGCTTTATTACTATGCACTTCAAAATCATTTGTATTGCAGAATATACAAAAATTGATAGATTTTGTCCTACAGCATGAATCAGTAAGCTAATTGCGGAAAACCACCACTAGACTGTTGTTTTTACTTACTAGAGAATCCTCAAAATTAACCTCTTGTGATCCACTTACCGAGTCAAGCTCTTAAATCTCAGAGTCTATCGCTAAGACACATAACACCACTTTTCTTCCATGATAATTCAAGTCACTAACACTGAAAGGCAGTGTGATAACATTCACAGTTATCTTTTTTAACAGAACTGTAAGATTCGTATTAAGGTTTCTAAGTACGCAACTCACTTTTCAAGTGTCGTAGATAAACCCATATGTGTGAGAATTTGTTGATGACTAAAAGGTATAACATTTCTTTGGAAGGTGAAGTTATATACATATATACCTTTTAGTCATCAACAAATTCTCACACATATGGGTTTATCTACGACACTTGAAAAGTGAGTTTCATACTTTTTGAAAAACTTGTTTTTGTACTACCGGATATTTGAGACTATCCTTTATAGGTTTTAAAACTGACTTTTAATTATGATACACTGACAAGAACTGTAAATTCAGTCAAAAAATTTACCCCGTACCAAAAAATGAGAACAATCCATGCAGCTCTGGGTGTTGATTTAAGTTATATCAATTTCTAGGTTATGGGAGGCAGAAATTTCGATAGTACATTATAAATTCGATTTAATAGCTCAGATGTTTATTTGTTTTCTCACAGAAGGTTAAGATCTTTTCTGAGCATCAGTCTTCATTTTTTGCATGTGTACTTTCGTCAATAAGCAACCACAAAGAACTCTGCTAAAGTTGATATACGAAGAGGATAGTCACGACAACCATAAAATGATTGACTGAACTTGAGCTACGTCACTTACCGCCTGCGGATAACTGGAATGGTAGTTGAGTCAAGAAAGCCGGCTTACAATCATAGCCTATGATTCAGTGAGCCATGTAGAGCAATGCAGACTAAGTAGTTGGGATCCACGGGACAAGAGGAACCAGTGGTTGGAGACTGTAGGTGATATGGCTCAGAACCGATATCAGTGGCGTAGATTTATACGTACACTAACCTCATCTTAACGACGCTATACCGAATCTCACCACTTTCTCATTCTTCATTTCTCTCTTTTCGTACTTTATACTTCTTTTGACTGGATTTTCTTATCTTCATCTTGCGCCTCACTGCCTTTTTACTTGATGTACTGATATGAGGTGTGGAAAGTCGGACCGTTACGCAATAATGTCTGATCCTAGGTTGATCTGGATGGATGAGTTATCACTAACCGTTGTTTCAGTCAGTGTCTAGTTTGGTTTTAACTAAAATAACCACCTATATACACCAATATGAGGGCTAAAGAATGCAAGCAAGTTGCCTACAGACTACCCATTCAGTGCTTCATTATTAAGAAAACAGCGAACCACATCTCAACTCAGTATAGCATGTATCACTCTTGAAAGAAATTATAGTCTATCAGAGAGTTTTATGCAGCGATTTATCATTGAACCACAAGGAAAACATGATGAATTCATTGACTAAATATTGTACTATTGAAATTAATATAGCAACAATAATAAAGATAATGATAATATTGACTTTTGTTTAGATTTATAAACTGTTCTTTACATCATTTTCAAGTCTAATTTAAAAGTAGATATTAAACTTAAGATAAGTGAAAAAGAAGGAAACTAAAACAAAGTCAAACAAGCCAGCAGTAATAAAATTACACAAAATAATAATGAAATTACAGGAAGTGAATAAAAATGAGAAGAAAAAGCTCTGAAATAAGGAAAATCCTTTTCTCTCTCTGTGTGTTTACTGAGGTTATCTCCTAATTAGACTTCCTTCGCTTTGTCATCGTCTTCTTTCAAATCCTCTTTACCAACTTTGCTCTTATTTGCTCACCATTTAATCTTACTACTAATATGATATTTACAATGATAACAAATGGCAATATGTATTGTTACTACAAAATTTAGTAGTTATTACCAACACCACTGCCATCTTTGCTATTATGCAACAGATTTTTCGGGGTTAACGAAAATTAAAAGAAAGAAGGCTTATATATATATATATATATATATATATATATATATATATATATATATATACAATTGGAGGACTAGAGGAAAACTGAAAACAGAAGAAAAGCAACAGTAACAACAGCGAAACAAAAATGAATAAGTATACCGAAAATTTTGCTTATCAGTCTGCTCATTTTCTTTTTTCCAGAAAATAATATATTCTGTATGTGTATATATGTGTGCATGTAAGAAGAAAAATAAGTGGTACTCGAGATGATGAATGACAAGTCAAACGGAAGAAAGTTTCGAAAGAAAATCAGATATCAACTTCTGCCTCTTCCTGTTGTCACTGTTGCTAGTAGTCCAGATGTTATCTCTTTTAAACACAATATCTTCTAACATCGTCTATTTACAACGAATGATACCGTTAGTTATCGTCAACATGACTGCTAAATGTTGCATTCTTAGACTGTATATTTGGAAGAACAACAGAAAAGTAGTTCTCCAAATAGGTGATTCATTAAATCACACATTTCTCTGAACGTAATATATTATATACATATGTGTACTATATACAAGTAGAGTTCTATGACCCAACATCTGTATTATACATAACTGTGAGTGTATAGACTGGATTAAAGTTATATTTGAAAGAAAACAAGAAATCCAACTTCATTTATTCTAATAGACAACTAATATTGAAACCTCTTTTCAATGAATTCATATGAGGCAGTGATGAGGATGACGACGATGAAGATGATGTCGAAGATAAAGAACAACGTGTTTTTAAAGGATGACTCAATTCATGTTCACTTTTTAATCCTGAAGTATTTCTAAATTCATTTACAATTTTCTTATTATCAGTATTGTCATCGTGTCCATTTATATGATGTGATAGTTGCTTGTTAATCGGAGCATTTATTTCTTCGTCAGTGCATTGCTTTTTATTCGGCTATTTCAATAAATAAAACAAAAATATCATGAAAGTTTATGAGCAAAATATGTACATATATCTCAGATGTCTCAAATTCTAATATATCTGTGACATTGTTTCTTGCCAGTCGTTCGCGAACAACTTATGTTACATAATATGCAACAATCTATTGTATAGCTTATCTTAATGGCTACATTTCACACTTCATTGATAGCCTTCAATAAACTCATAAATCTTAAGATCTACATTGGTCACAGTGTAGTAACCAGGCTAATAACTTTATCCCAGTCGATAAATGAACATTTAAACAAAAACAGTTTCTGAAAAGCCACTTCGTTCTTTAGTGGCAAACAGCTACCCTTAAGCATAGGATGCCAAGTTGATGTTTTTAATACGATATTCGGATGATATCACTGAATAAGGCTAGTAAAGTAAACGATTTTGTTAGAACAAGTTGTCAAGGGTAAGTAACATATTCCAAGGTGGTATTCGACATTGACTGAAATCACTTGGAGAATCTATAAAAACTCAGGAGCATGGCTGTTTCTTCCTAGTATATGACTCTTCAGCAGCGTGCACCTATGATCCCACCTCACCAAGGACCGAGCCAAGTACCTTCAGGTACCCCACTCAGCATGTTATCGCTGAGTCACCGAGTTGGAATTCAGTGGTCTACATCTCCTACTAATGTCATTTCATGATATAACGTAACCTTCATCTAACGCTGTTTTTGAACAATTTTCCTTACAAGTTCTTATTAAAACTTCAGGAATTTCAGATTGAAACAAGTCGCCAAAGTGCATTCGACAGTAATTCAATCTGGAGATTTTTGGGAATTTCTGGTTGATTCAAGTTGGTTGCATCTTTAGTGCGGTTAAGGATGCGCACATCTGAGGAGTCCTACGTTGAAAGAAACAGCTGTCCAGTGCTCCAAGGTTTTTGGTTGCTATCTACTTGATTTCAGGCCATGATGAATAACAAATTGAAATAAATAGATCCTCACAAAGCTCCGAATCGGGTAGCATGTTTCTTCGCATTGTTTATCAACCCAAATCTAAATCTTGGGGACTTTGAATCCTATATTGTCGTTCACTTCCTAGTGATGCTTTCGCATTTGCTTTTCATGACAGTAAGATGCAGTAGTTCTCTTTGAATATAGATAAATAGATCAGTATAAGGCCTGACAAGGAAGTGTAGTGCTTCAAGTAACTACACTTTACAAAAATAACCCAACGATGAAGTGAATTTAAAAGAAGGATATCAGAAGACCCATATTAATGCGAGAAAGCAGAATAAATAAATGAAGGTTTGTGAGGTGTTCAAAATTTTGAAGATGATGAAGAATGAATACATCTATGCTTGACTGTGAGTCAGTTATATTATAAGAAGAGATTATAAGTTTTCAAGCAGTTCTAATGCCTTGTAACGCTAATAGGTTGCTAAAGTTATCTAAAACCATAAAAGAACTTAAGTCGGTGACAGCTGTCAAACAAAATCATCATTCAGTTCAAGTCAGTTCTAAGCAGGTTATATATATAACAATTTTATCTATAACTTACAGAGCAGCACAGTTTCGATGAGCTTAAGTCATCTCGAAGTTGTATAGAATTACAGTTTTCCGGAAAATATCTACTCATCACTTCATAGCTACGCTTTAAATTATCTGACATAAGCTGTAAATCACTTCCAGTAAATGCAGAAATTGTATTCAAAGCAGAAGATGTAAGCTGTGGAGATTGTAGGAAATGACATGATGGCACTGTTGTCATCACTGAACATGGCAGTGTGGATGAATTAATTGATGAAAATGTTAATTCAGATGTGATAAATGGTGTAATACTATTAGACTTGTTATTACTATCATCATCATCATCATCATTATCAGAAAGTTGACTAGTTTGATTATGATACTCTGTTGATAAGTGATTTTGACCTTTAGCGGCATAGTGTTCAATAGATGTTTTATTAACTTTGTTCACTTCATTAAAATACAATGATTTACATATTTTTGGACAGTGATGTACTGTATGCTGACTTCGAGATAAACTTGTAGGTATAAACGTTGAATTCGGTGATACATGATCGAAACATCCTGGAATTAGATCATAAAAGAAAAAAAGTTAGTAGTAACTGTAGTGTGAGCAGCAGTAGTAGTAGTTGTAGTAAAAGAAAAAATAATCAATCTCTTCATTGTTTGCTTTACTCTGTAAAAAGCGATGGACTAGTACTTTAAATTCCATCATGAACAAAAATCATTTTATTTACTCGTGAGAAAAGATGACCAGTTGATTAAGATGCTATCTTAATTCTTATAGCATTCGATAGTACGACCCCTCGAAATGTTACTGCTAGCTTCAACTTAGACTACTTCACGATTACGTGAATTAAACTCATTTTTATATTATTGATGGATAGTGGCTAGCAGCGGAATCCAGAACACACGTTTGATTCTTTTTGGGACTCATCAACTGGATGTACCTGCCTCCTAGTGAGCAATGTTATTCCCACTAAGACTCGAACTCAGAACTCTTCATGTCAAACGCCAAAGCGTCATCCACTAGGTCACTGAGTTATGACAGTCACTTCTTGTGGCACGGGTATAGTTTGTCGGTGATTGGACCAAATTTGATTGGTTTCTACTGGTATGGGGACTCCTGTGCCAATGCCTCGATATTGCCTCTATTTCAATTTTATATAATACAAGTAACAACATGACTTAAAGTCATACTTAGTTAGCTCTTAAATTTGTCCATATTAAGAAAAAACATTAAAATATTACTTTATATATTTCTACAGTAATGCACAACTAGTACACATTGTAACAGCGTGATCTGAATTGATGAAGCAGCATTTAAACCTGATCTTTCAACACCAGGGTCATTGGATTTCATACGGCTTGGACAATTTTAGTTCCGAAGACTTCTACCAGGATGAATGTCAACTGTAATTCTGATGTGGATTAATAGGTGAACAATGGATCATATAAGTTTTGTAACCATAAGGGACTTCTTTATATTATACAAGAAACTAGAAAAATCAGTCAGTATTTTCTCTTTAATAAACAGTCCAGTGAAGCACTTCTTTGACAAAATATTTTATTTGCTTGGAAGTGATCACCAGGAATCTTAAAATATAACATTCATCAGCGACGTATACTTTCAATCCTGTTTAAGATAGTCAATGTTCACAGGACTATCAGTTAATATCTTGAAGATCTAGTTTGAGGTTTATTAGGCTTTTATTTTCAAGGTGGTATTCATCCCGGACTGACATCAGCTGGAGAATCATTGAAAACCTTTGAACATTGGACAGCTGTTTTGTCCTAATATGTGACTACTCAGCAATGTGTACCCGCGACCTTGCTATGGATTGAACTCTACACCTCTAGGTCTCATGACGAACGCGTTAGCTGAGTGTGTTCCACAGTTCTCTACCTCTGTCAATTCGTGATATAGCACAACTATCCACCAAGGTACCTTGAGAATATGTTACACAGTGGCGTCAATTTATAAATGCCTCCCTCAATTCCCGATAGTTGATCTCATCAAGATTCAAATAAGAAATAGAAATGCCTCACCATCTGCAAGCAGGCTTAAGATTTCCTCAAAATGTTAATCTAAATCAGAAAAATAAAACGTAACCAAAGTTACTGACGTACCAGCAGATAATAGCTGTAGACTGTGTCTAGATCAAATGTAGTCCCCTAGACTGGCTCTATTTAGAAACTAGTTTAATGCATAAAAATCGGTCTAAAGTTAATTAAAAAGTAAGACATTTCTTAGCGTATAAAACCCTAAGGTCAACAAGTTGTGTATTTCATACCATCGTTCTGAAAAAGTACTTAAAATGCTTATTAGTAGCAATAAAACTTGTTAACGAAGTCAGGATTCTCAGCTGGGTTTACGAACTCCATCATACTTTTTCCCTTTTTACAACACCATAGCCAACTAAAAGATAAGTTCAGCATATGAATTGATAATAATCTTATTATGCCACTATATTTTGTCGCAATTATCTCCGAAATTTAAGTTCATGGTAATAATTTTCTTAACATAGTTAAATTTTAAACTGTTAAAACGTACAATGCATTCAATGCCTCTAATTATAGTCTGTTTTATATAGAAAGGCATATTTAATATTCCGGGTTCCCTGGGAGGATCATGAAGCCTAAACATTTTCAAGAGGGAATTCCCACGGTTCCAAAGAAGATACCATTTATGAATATTGTATTCAAGGGAGATACAGTGGCAAAGATACTCAAGAATCGACTGTGTAAAGCATGAAGAAGATTTTCTTTTCAACTCAACTTCGGATTGTCTTCTGTAGTCAACAAGTCATTCGACGGTGTACAGAAGATAAACCACCACTTTAGGTCGCCTCTAGTTCATCTGCTCTTATGGGGCTAGATACATAGACTACACAAAGCGTGTTCTATTTGAACGTATCTCGAACACTTTCCTGTACGGCTGTCCAAAGAAGAGTGTAAAGACATCAACAAACTGATTTTTGAGCATGTGGTTAACTCTAGTCAAACTGCTTTACCAGAATCTTTTTTCAAGTCATTTATAAAGTGAAATCAAGATTTGACAGGCAGTATGAATTCACCACCGGAACACTTCAGAAGCCTTGGCAATTCAATGGTTCAAGTCTGATCTCTGTTCAAAAGAGACAAGTTTAATCTCTAATCTTACCTTTGTCACAATTTCCATAAGAAAGTTCATTTATTATTTGTTTATCTATTCCAGTCCTATAGACAGTTTTTTGACTACCTTGTAATGACCAGTTGTTACTGATGAACATGTTTTGTTGTAACTATAATTAAGTTTCTACAGATTTTGAAAATGATTCGTTGAAGAAAGGTTTCTCTACTGGACTATCCTTTGTTAATTATTCAGTAAGAATATACAAAATAGCAAATTGAATCTGCCAATTCCTCCTATGGAATTAAATATAAGGCTACTTACTGTTATACGTATTTCACTCTTCAGATTTTTCTTATACACTTAAAGGCCTGAATGACCTTTCACCTTGAAGCAAGATTCATCATTGCATCGTAATTTTAACAGAGAAATTCCATGACCATAAGAAATACACTATATGTGATCACTGATTCTACCATAGAACACCTCAAATCTCATAAAATTACAAAGCTCGTGATCCAACATATACTACAATATATACTTATGCTGTTCAGTATTACTTTGCAGTTGTCCATGCCAAGAACTCTAGATTTTAAAGAAGCCATATAATTATGTAACATAATGTTCCTTGATATACATCAGGTGAGTAAAAAATAAAGGCAGTCAAGATGAACTCATTGTAGAGATGAACAACAGTCATATGCAAAATATTTCGAAAATTAGCTTCAGTCTTCATTTACCCTTGCACTTCGGTGTTTTTCTGGTATTTGATGTCTAGTTTAATGATCAGAGAGGAATTCGGCTGGTGAACGCAGTATCTATATCTTACTGGCATAAACGCTCATTCGTGTAGCCTACCATAAGATTCTCTCAATAAATGTGATATACATAAGCTCATTCAATACTTCGAGTGACAGCAATATAACAAAAGATTAAGAAGCTTATTTCGGACTACTAATTATATGGTTGAGAGACAATTTCTGATAATGAAAGACCGTCTGGCCGTTTTGTAATACTAGCGGCGGAAATAAATTATTTGGATGAGCACTCAAATTGTCATGAAGTGATATCTTAACGGGTGGAGCAAAAATTTGATGGGAAATGTAAGGTGTTACAACCCATCACACTTGATCATGCCTTACAGAGTTATTCAGACATTAAGAAATCATTCTGCTTAAACTTTCACCTAAATAAACCGTGATGAAGATAAGTAATTTAGGCAATACAAGTTTACTATTAGCGAACAGCTTTGTTTAGCAAATGAATCTATAGTGAATGAGTAGGATAACTGAAATGAGAAGAAAATCTAGATCACAGAAGCATTCGAATTACTGGTCTTCGTATGATAGATGTTGTCTTTTATTAAATGAAATAGGAAACCAAATCCTCAACGATCTCCTGGTTTCACTTTAATTCATTCCAAAACAGTCTTAAACCGAACTAAAGTAGATATTTTTAGTGCAATGCAATACAAAAATGCATATTTACCTGACCACATCTGATGCGGTGATGATGAAGAGGAGGAGGACAATAAATCTTTTGAAGTTATTTGTTTATCAGTTGACAAATCCGTGACCAGTGATAAATCATTCGATTTATTGGTATTATTACTATTGTAATTACAACTGACTGCATTAAAATTCAGTACTGAATATGAAGAGAAATGATCTGGTGAACCATAATAAGAAGAAGAATTCGGTGATTTAGTCTTTATATGATTAGAAGTTGACAGTGTCCTTGTGGATGACTTTAAATCAAATCCAGGATGATTACTAAGATTCCGATCCTGATTAAATAATGATCGATTTGTATAAGATGGAGAATTGATTGAGCTGTGAAGTCTAAACTTCATATTCTCATTTATTCCAAATCCATCAACTGAATGCATTTTCATTAGATCTCTATCTAGTCCATCAAGATCTTCATAGTTATCCACCTTGTTCAGGGAATGTTTATAACGTAACCGTAAACCTCTGAATAAAATAAAGCAGAAAAAGGGGTAAAATATGCAACAATAATATTTCGCATTACAGGCAAGGTTACAAAAATATGCTGGTTTCTAGAAAAGACTGATAAATGGACTGGTGACAGAAATAGTCAAAGTTTATTCAGATTTATACCAACGGGGTTAGGTGGTATATGCACTACTGTTATAATTCTGATGATATCTGATCCATTCCACAGTGATTTCCTCAGGGTATAAATACGTCATTTTTATCTGAAATCTCCCAGTGATCCGACTACACAACATGTCTTTCAGAATCACTACCTGACGAGTGGAAATTAAATCCGCCGGTAATAATAGGAACAAACTTATCATGAATCCTCTTGGAGTTATAACTTTACATAGATTTTTATTGTTATGCTAAGTTTGTCATGTTTTAATAGGCACTTACTATTTGAGGGACCATTTAAAGATTCTGCAGTATCAATAACAAACATCTTATAAAAGGATGAATTAGTTTACTTGCAGAGATAAATGGAACTGTAAATTTAGAATGACTGGTTCCATGCGTAAAATGACCCATCTCCTCCTGAGTGTAAACTGCATCTTCGTAGAGCAGAACCATGAGTTTCCAATTCGTTTAAGGTTCAGAAAGATGAGACTGAAAGATGTCTATTAGTACTTCGTCAAAATGAGTGATTTTAAGACAGAAATTGAACTGCAATCTGTAGCTGTTCTAGAATACTCTAGAGTATGGGTTATTGTTCTACACCATTAGGTATCATTAAGCCATTTATCCAGGTCTACCGGAAAAAATAACAACAGAGTTGATGCGTGGACTTAAAGCATTCCTGTAAGTCGTGGAAACGACTTCGCCCGAGGATTAATCAACAGCAGCAGCCATCGTTAAATAATCTAGTCATCTTTCAATTAGATTAGCTTACATTTTCCAACAAAGAGAATGCGAAGTTTGATGCCATTTATTGTATCCGGTATGTTGTCGTATCAGCTAAGTGGGACGTCATTGACTCTAGTGTTCATTAAGGCCTTCATATGGTGTTCAAAATGAGTGATTTTGAGAATTTAATTAATCTCTCCATTTATTTCCGTATTCATACAAAATAGTGCGATTTTCGTATACTGTATGTTGACCTGTCTGACTGCATTACCTTGGGCATGTCACTACTAGACTTCTGTTTGTTCCCTTACCTATGGTAGTTTCTCGTTACAATGAAAACATCAAAATGAAGAGACAACCAATAAAGGCAGCATGACAGACTGAGAACAATTCATCGAATATCAGTGTCAACATGAATGAATCAACAAAGTAACAGCGAGTCCAAAACGCATCATCTAGCATCATAAGGTGGTTCAAAATGACCTTCAGAAGGTCAAAAGGGAGCATTCTGATTGGTTACCAAGTTGTAAGGTACATTTCAAACTGCACTCGTCGGGATAGTGCAGCCATTTGATGTTACAGAATGTCAATTCGTATCTGCCAATCCTACTACACTCCCAAACTGTTATTGTCGTACATTTCACCAGTAGTTAAAAACTGTGATTTTGTTGCACGACGCCTCTTTATCGTGCCTTCGACTTGTACTCACCTTAATAATTAAAATAATAATAGGTGTTTAGTGCCTTCCATGTGTTGACATTCATTCAGTCCTGGAGTAAAAATAGTATTTAGGGCACCGTACTTCATTTTTGTCATACCTTTTGGTGTGTTGACAGTTTCCAGCCACTTTATGAACAAGATGATTTGTTTGTCATATGTAAGATAAGAAATAAACAAAGGTTTTTCAAACAGATAACATTCCTATTGTTCACTAATTTATACATCAGAATGTTGTTGTGTTTTGTTTTGCTTCGTTCGAGAAATAATACATTGGATCAGTGGGTATACTGATCAGTGATTTATCAGAAATCAAAGGAAACTTTTTAGAAAAGCTCTTGAATGTCATTATTAGTCGGGCAAATTTATCTTAAAGCAGAATATAATGACCAGTATGAGTCTTAAAACAAATGGTTAAACATGATTTCATTGAACTGTAAAGGGAGAACATCAGTGAATCTTCAGCTAGGCAACAGAATACCATGGAGATTCATGTTACTCAACTCTTTTTGAGGACTCTTTCAAAATCCTTTACAGGTTTTGTTTAAGCCACTAAAAGGAAGTTAGATGAAGGCATTTATGCGTGACAGAAGCATAACCAATCCACAAGTTCGAACCGGTACTGAGTTCGGAAAAGTATGTTCACCGTATTTATTGAAACTGACTGTCCTATTTAAATCCTCTGTTAAGTAATTTACATCTATTTTGTCATCTTGACTGCCTGAGATAGCCTTGGTTTAGCAGACTAGTATTGATACTGGGTGATGATTGAAGGTGAAATGGAAATTTTGACCGCAGCCCGATTTGAACCAGTGACCACCAAGTTACCAACCCAGTGCTCCACCAATTGACCTACGAGGTCCAACTACTCACCAGATTTTTATTTCACTTCAATCACAAGACAGGGTTTTACTCGACTATCATGTGAATTCGTGACCCCCTACTACTGCTTGATCGAATTCACATTAGCTGCCTAGTCAGGACTTCTCATCTCAATGGCAATCTAAGTGAATTAGAGAGGGGAAGCATCATATTGATTATCATTTTGACTATCTGAGATAGTCGTAGTTTGGCAGACTAGTATTTGTAATGGGTGATGACTGAAGGTGAAATGAAAATTTGAACAGCGGCCGGATATCGCTTGATAGCTAAAGGTTATAAGAAGTCAGAACTCATAGATCAAATTAACTTTAAAGTGGAGTAAATATACATCAGCGATATGATGAGGTGTATATGTGGTGGTGTAAAAGTAGTCATTAATCCACTCTCACCCAAGGAAAGATAACAATCAATGAAGGTTTGAATGTATAAAAGAGACGATAATCACATCTTATGGCTTTGATGTTTTACTGTTATTCATTACGACTACTTTCCTTTGTTAATAGTGAGTATTTCATTTTTTTTCATAAACACAGGAGGAAGTACTCGTTGACCAAGTTAGGACTGACAATACTACAGATTGTCAAGTTATGTGACTGAGAAGTGGGTTTATGTAAGATTAGAGGGTTTCACAGAAGTTGCTAAAGTGATCTGTGGTCATGCTCAAAGGGATAAGCATTTAGACGACAAGCAGAGCAAGTGTATCGTCTTCCTATAGATGCAACATATCAATAAGTACAATTTCTGTGTTTATCACTTATCATCAAAAACTAACGTCATGGTTTCAGTCTGTGACAATGAAAATTACTGAAAGATCGCGTAGTCTTAAATAAATTATTTATCATGCTCGGTCAATTTTTTACTCATACTAAAAATGTTTTTAAAACTACCAAAGCACTCAGCCATTGAAATGTGTTAATAGACATCATATCGTGTGAATATCCGCTTTAAAATATGGTTTCCCACAAGTTGGTACTTGATTCTGTAGACGCTTTATTTACACTTTATTTCTGGATGATCCTTTAACGTAGAAATGTTGAATGCAAAAAGTAAACGATTGTTTAGGCGTAGTATAACTATTTCTATAAACTGAACATTGTAACACTAACAACCATACAATTATCTAATGACATCAATTTCATCAGATTACATAACTTTAAGGGAGGATTAAAAGTAGATGATTTTAAAAATTGTACAATATTCTCCTGCCCAATTTTTCAACAGTTTAGGGCGTTATATCGCCTAGAATCATGTGTATTCATGAGGCTTGGAGTAGCAAAGTAGACAGTTATAGTCAACATGAGAACAACCTATAAAGTAGTTTGTATAGACTCAAATTTTTTTTCTCAGTATTTGCAAACTGAATCACAAATTGCCTAGTCTCTGTAGACACTTTTTTCAGACCTTTTTTGGTTTATTTTCATTTTATTTTCAACCGATGAAAACGACAAACACAACAAAAGCCATGACTAGAAAAGTTCAGAATAATAATATATTTTATCAAAATACATATACAGAAATGTTAGTTTACTTTTTTTCACGGCGTCCACTACCATTGTCTCGAAATCCTTTAGCGAATGGATTATTGTCAATTTTTAACTGAGTAATCTATTGAAAGAAAATAGGTAGAAACACAATGAAGTAACGACAATATATGATGACTAGTAATATATTCTGTCGATGTTCATCAGGTCATTTTGTGCAACAGACAAAGCATTAAGAGGGTAAATGTTTGGCTTGAATAGATCACTGATAAAGTCTCCAACTTCGGTAATGAGTTATGCAGTAGTTTCACATCCCTTTCCTGAGTGATTCTACTGCAAACCAGCAATGGAGAGTTACAAATATTAATAGATAACAATTGATATGCCCTGCAAAATAGGTGGCTATCGTGACTCAGTGGTATAATTGATAACCCCTTGATGTTTGAAGCAATGTGTACTGGGTTGTATTTTCAGTGGGAACACTACCATTTACTGGGGTGTAGGCACATCCAACTGACGATTACCAAAGAGGGCGAAACGCGCTTTCTGGGTTCCTCTGTTAGCCACAAGTGAGATAAAATACAATGATTGTTCAATCCATTTAGAGGTATCCCATAAGAAGCCAACCTGTCAGCAGTGGTCAATCGACTCAGCCCAGTATAGCAATGGGGAATTACAAGTATCGATAAACAACCGCTTCAAACCACATTGATGGAATGCTATCAAGGCTAAGTATCATCTGGTGACTAATCTCCGTAATCCACAAGTCTATGAAGTTTCCTATTAATGTATTCATTACTGATCAGGTAGAGTTGATAAGTCGTAATTTACGTTCATTCAATGAATGATTTAAATTATTTATCGCGAATTTTCTCCATGAACGTTTATCAGTATGTTGTTTTCTTACATATGCACTTACCACCCTGAGACTCGACTAATCAAGGCCTACTATAAAACTGAGGGATTTGTCTTGAAGCTAGTCGCTAGTTATGTTATGAGATTCCAAACTAAGTTTGAAAGTATCCAGGTCAACAATGTATTGTTTTGAAAAACATGGATACCAGGTTGGTATAATTCATTGCATAAAGTGTATTTTATCTATGTAACTCCGACGTAGTATATTAGAACATACATTATCCTTCAAAATTTCGATCTTGTTAGGAAGGTCTTTCTCAAGAGTTTAAATATGTTATTTAGCTTTGAGGTTAATATTCAAGTTTGGTACAAAAGATGACCTTTTTCATCATCTAATTAAGCTGTCAACATGACTTATGTAAGTGATTTAACAAGTGCATGAAAGAGATTTATTCAAGTTACGGAAATGGGGTAGTATCAAAATTAAGGTCAGGAATCGGTTAGTCAACAATCTTCAAATCTTTAAATGATGACCATCGTGACTTCGGTTTGTTGGTGAAAATAGTCTAAGGATTTGATTTAAATCCATGACGGATTAATCTGACGCATGATTGTTCGCTGATAAACTGATACATGAGTTTGTAGTTTTCACCGAAGATTTCAATTTTATTTTGATATATTAAAGGATTATGGACAAACTAAAGAATTTTTTCTGAATTTTGCGCTAAAATTCTGTAGAGTTGGGCAATCAGTAATTTACAACTAAAAGTGAATGAAAGAGCTGTCTTATTTTCTCATTGTTGCTAAAGTTTTGTTAGATAATATCTACGAGTAATGAAAGTCGACTTCAAGTCAAATGATTTCGTACAGATTACATGATGAAATAAATTAAAAAGTATTGGGAACCAAGGAGCTATTACAACCAATTTTGACAGTACCTATATAACTGATATTCTTCATAACTGGACCAAGCACTTGAAGACTTCAAAACTAATGCATTAATACTATCTGAATTCATTGTTAGACTTTCTTGCAATTTTATTGAACTGGCAATCTTTCTCTACAACGTTTTTATTTATTTGTCACTTGGGTTCACAGTGAAACATAGGGCTTCAGTAACGCATAGCCATATCACTCTCTTCTCCGTAGTCTTCTCAACCCGACTCCACCACAAGCTTTCATTCCTTCCGCACACCATCTCCTTTATATCACCCTCACCTCAGGCGCCCAACTTGATGGTGTGGCCTGGCGCATGATGTCCCCAACCGATCTCCTCAGTGCATGCCCAATCCAATCCATGTCCACCTCCTTCTGCATATTTGTTGGGCGATAGGTTCTTGCCTCGTTGGTTCGTTGCCAATCACCCAGCCAACCAGACTGAGTTCATCCTTCCTTATTCTTATTATTCTGGCCATCCATCTCATCTCCATCTTCAGTGTCAGTGTCAGTATCGAGTGAGCCTAGGTGCCAGCTATTCATGTATAATGTCTGCAGCTTGTTGGAAATGCTTTCCGTAACACTCCAAGTCTCTCAACCATCACATAGAAACACTGACTGACTGACTTAATTGACTGACATTCGTGTTGAAAATCCGGATGTTGTTCACGCTTCATTCTGTGTCCAGTGAAGTGCAGTGCAGTGCAGTAGATCTCCACACTGATCTCCACAGATTAATGCAGGAAGGCCTGTCTTACTGTCTTTCCGATTCTGGCTGGCTTTGACATCCTCATCTGTGCCTGTGCCGCCTGTAGTTGAAATGATGCTGCCCTGCCTGTCTAGGTAGGTAGGTGGGTAAGTGAAAGAGACAACTTCGTCTAGATTTCCCCCGTTGATGGTGATTGATGCTTGTTGTTGTTGTTGTTGGTTGGGTATCTTCATCACCTCTGTCTCTGTCTTCTCTACGTTCAACTGAAGGAAGCCCCATCTTCGCTGCCTCGCCTCTTATGCCAATTTGTTTGCACCTACTAGCACACTAGGGATAAAAGCCGAGACCTCATGGTTTGGAAGTTACTACTCGGTCCATGGGTCGGAATCTAATGGTCCATATTTTTCTACTTCTGTCAGCTTGTGACGTAGCACAAACATTATCTGACGCCATCGGTAAGTATTTGTCTTCGGATGTGACTAAGCTGACGCCATAAGTCACACTTCTCACTAGAACTTCAAGAAGTCTTATCTCGAAGCTTGTCAATAATGAGCATAAGACAATAATCGGGTTTGGAGGTTTTTGGTTTGTGGTTACTCACGCACTGCTTATTTGCGATGGAAAACGAACAATCGAATTAATACAGCATTACGCATAGGTTCAGTATGTTCAGATTAGTTATGCTCTACTTTTTAAAGTTGGGATATTTTGCATCATACTTAAAGTATTTACAAAAGATGAGGGTGTAAGGTGAAAATTTGTTCTCAGATAACAGTTGAAGCCTTTCACTCTATAATAGTACAAAACTACGAAACATGAATACAGTAATTAACAGGTTGGTTTACAATAATTACCAACACAGTATATTCTGATTAGTAGGACTTCAAATCTTTGTTTGTCTACAAATTGAAAACTCATACAAAAGGCGAAATCAGTCTGAACTTTAGCGCCTTTGATATCATTAAGACTGCTTGATAAAACATTGACAAGTGAACAGTAACATGGACACACTGAAAGTAATGTACACAATATAGTCATCAGCATGCCTTTATGGAAATCGTAAAGCCATCAGTTTAACTCAGACAACCCGTATTCTAGATGATCTTATGATAATGATAATTACTACTGTTATTATTATTATCATTATCTATTCCAGTCAACTTTACAGTCATATTTAGACACGTGTTTGTTGAAAGCTGATCTTAACGCCTACCCACCGACATTTATGTTTATGCATACGAACGCAAGCAAACGCGTGAACACACGCACACATACACAAGTGTATGTACACAAGCAGTTAGCCAGCACTGATGTATTGTGAAGTGAATCGAGAAAGTTTAATAAATATATAGTATGAGTATATCTCTTGCCACAAATAATTAATTCCTTTGTTCAACTCGTAAAGTTCATTTTATTCTCTTTGACTATATGGACAAAACTTTCCTTTATAGTCAATCTATACAGCCTTTGTTTGACAGTAATAGGCATAAAACATTTTGTCTATTGTCATTATTTGTATATACAGGATAGTAAATACCTGAGTAACATTTAGATTCTAATTTACAGTGGCGAATTCCATTAGATGTGGAGCTCTGTAAGTCAATCATGAAAGGAGGAAAAATACTAGCGTAACAATCAACTCTTGGTTTGAGAATTACACTGTAAATTGTAAGCTTGTTTGCTCGATGTTTAAATTAGAGTTCTCTGTCTCTGAGATGGTGAAATTTACTTCAGTAGTAGCAGTAATAACAATAATAATAAGAGTAGTAGTAGTAGTAGTAGTAGTAGTAGTAGTAGTAGTAGTAGTAGTAGTAGTAGTAGTAGTAGTAGTAGTAGTAGTAGTAGTAGTAGTAGTAGTAGTAGTAGTAGTAGTAGTAGTAGTAGTAGTAGTAGTAGTAGTAGTAGTAGTAGTAGTAGTAGTAGTAGTAGTAGTAGTAGTAGTAGTAGTAGTAGTAGTAGTAGTAGTAGTAGTAGTAGTAGTAGTAGTAGTAGTAGTAGTAGTAGTAGTAGTAGTAGTAGTAGTAGTAGTAGTAGTAGTAGTAGTAGTAGTAGTAGTAGTAGTAGTAGTAGTAGTAGTAGTAGTAGTAGTAGTAGTAGTAGTAGTAGTAGTAGTAGTAGTAGTAGTAGTAGTAGTAGTAGTAGTAGTAGTAGTAGTAGTAGTAGTAGTAGTAGTAGTAGTAGTAGTAGTAGTAGTAGTAGTAGTAGTAGTAGTAGTAGTAGTAGTAGTAGTAGTAGTAGTAGTAGTAGTAGTAGTAGTAGTAGTAGTAGTAGTAGTAGTAGTAGTAGTAGTAGTAGTAGTAGTAGTAGTAGTAGTAGTAGTAGTAGTAGTAGTAGTAGTAGTAGTAGTAGTAGTAGGCAACCGTCTTGGTTGTACGACCTAGGTTTTGATTTAACCTGTTTGGTGGTGTTAAGAACAAATGAAGTGATAAGGGATTAAACGGAAATGCTTGGTAAATAATAAGTAGGCCATAGTGAGCACTAACATCATTTTAGCAACCAGTTATAAGTATGTAACTCCATGCATGCGCCAAACGATGAACTTGGGGCTGAGTAACAAATACTAGTTTTTAGATTAGTGACCTCAGTTTAAACATGAGTAAAATAAACCAAAAGCCCCTCATCCTAAAAATCAAATCGCCTTTCTTAATAAAAATTAAGCATTAAATTCTGCTAAAAACTGGAGGAAAATAACGTAATTTTCTGTTATGATACTTGTAATTTTCCCTTGCAATACAGGGTCAAATTGGCCAAATTATTCCCATGAGGATGTCTCTATACTGCCAGATATTCATGATATTATATTGATCTTCATGACCAGTAGAGAAATCCTACTTGTAATTCATCAGCTGGATGACTCTACACTCCAACGAGTGACGTTGTTCCCACTGAGACTCGAACTAAGTACCTATCACTTCAAACGCCAAGGCATTATCCACTAATCCACTAAGGCACAATAGCCACCTCTTGTAAAACGGGTATTAGTTGTTGTCATGATACTTTGGCATTTGAAGTGAAGGGTACTAAATTTGAGTCTCAGTGGGAACAACATCACTCATTAGAGTACAGGTATATCCAGCTGACTAGTGAGTCCCAAATAAGAGGAAACGCAGGTCGTAGATTCCAATGACAGTCACCAAGATCAATATGATCTAAATTGTTTTTAATCTCAGTTCAAGATGAATGGAAGCTGAGTCATCTATAAGCTCAGTAGTGTTTAAAAGTACTAACTGCTGACTCAATGAAATGTGATAGTCACTTGTTTACTGCTTTTCCAACACAGTATTACTGATAAGAGTGTTAAGGAATACACTGATTTGTCACTGGATGGTAACCAGTTTCGCGTTGTCAAGTCCTAAATGCTGACTGACTTCTACCGATCATTTCGCAATGCTGTCACCAAGCTATGAGGCCTACCATCGAGGTGACAACAGCTTTGACGACATCCATCAAAGTACATCGTGATTATGAGCCTCCTAGCCTGATGGCCAAATTGCCAATAATCAACAGAAGTCGATCAGCACTCAGGACAAGACAACGCAAAACCGATCACTCTGTAGTGACCAACCAGTCAGTGTATGTAGTTTGTCCAACAGGAGGCCAATGACGGCCCGAATAGCTCAGTGGTAAAGTCACTGACTACAAAGCTGGGTGATGCAGGTTCAAGCAACAAAGGGGAGGGATGTCAGTTCCCTCTGGGTTGCAGATACGCCTTGCTGACGAGTGCCAACAAGCAAGAAACCTAGGCCTAGAGCTTCTTGCCGACTGCTCCCAACCAACCAGCATCCAGCAGTTCCTTTTTACAACACGAATTCAGTTTGCTGCTTCTGAGACTGATACTAGTTTCCAATGATGAAAACTCCAACTATAATCAAACTACCAGTTAACATAATGATCCTTCTCTGGTATCAGTGTTTACGGTCAGTTAACAGTAAGTTTCATACTCAGGTTTCCTGCCGCATTTTCGAATCCGAGTCACTTAGTGCTGGTCTTTTACCCCTATTCTGATAGTCTATTCAGATTACAGTTGAACTCACTTTCAAGACACAATTATTTCAGTTAGCTGACAGTAAACAGTATGGCTGAATATTCCTAGCAGCTGTTTGAAATCTGTCGGTAAATTTCTAAATGTGACCGTCAGATGAAATGACGGAAATCTGTGGTATGCTTTAAATACGATGACCAATTTGTAAATTATTTACAAATTGCACGGTCTATGTTGACACTGCTTACATCTGAGTAGTTTTTCAACTGCCCAACTATGTTGCTAATAGGCTTTCCGTTGGAAACCCCACAGCCAAGATCATAAGGTGTGATCTCTAACACAATGGTGTTATGAACAAACGAAACATACTACTTAAAAATTTGCGTAGTTGGAAACCACTCCTAGTGATCTGAAGATTTCACTAGCCAGAAATGACTGACCTAAACACCGGACTGTGAGCAGAATACAGAGCAATTATATGATGCTGATCAAAACCCGCTACTCAAGCTAACCCAGCTATGTTAGGATTTACGGAGAGTTTTCAACAGAATTCATGACAACTAGTGGTATCCGCCATGGATGCCCTCTGTCACCGTTCCTATTTAACTTCGTTATTGATATACTAAGGAACATAACCGTAGGTATCTCTGATTTCAGTGGAACAGATCTGCTCCCTGGAGGTCAGCCGGTTGACTTGGAATATGCAGACGATATTGTCTTACTAGGGGAAGACGCTGACAAAATCTTAGGTCTTCTGAACTTTTTGAGCGGAAATCTATGCTTGTTTGGCATACGTTTCACTACTACCTGTCGAATGTAAGATGATGCCCCAGAACTGGTTAGCAACTACTTTGGTTCACTTACTTGAACAGTTGCATCAGCCCGAACGGGTTGGTTGCTGACAAAATCTCAGCTCGGATAACTTGGCATTTGTCAGCTTACATCATTTATGGTAATGATTGGCGAAATTTACGACTATAAATCAAAGGACGAGTATACTGCTCTTTGGTCCGTTCTGTGCTGTTATACATCTGAGGCGGTAGTTAAAATCAGAAAATATGAAGCGATCACGGGTTTTTGACCACTGGTGCCTTCGTATCATTTTTCGTGCATGGAGAAGTCATTATATTAGCAATCTTCAGGTCATGCGAAGCTTACTAGGTTAAGGAACGAAAGTAGACCGATCGACAAGGTTGTATACTTTCAGTGACTGAGGTGGTTTAGATATGTGTTGCACACGCCTAGTCACCGCCTTCCTTGACATATCATGCTACGGGAAGTTGGATTAGGTTGAAAAAGGGTTCAGGGTAACCAGACAGACATGTGACACCTGTTGATGGAGCCCCTGACTGATGGTCTCACTTATGGGAGGAGATGTAGACTGCTTGGCTGGAGTCCCCGAGATAAAAGAAATCAGCAGTTGATGATTCTTGGTGAGAAGGCTGAAAATTGGTCACAGTAGTGCAAATGTATTCACTCCCTGACATCTGAAGCTTGAATATTTAGACTAACTTTTATCTCCAAATTGTTTATTCTCCCATACTTCTTTATCCACTCTGATACCTCTCCTTTTCTATAGACCTGTTCTTTGTGTACTTCTGTGAAGTGTGGCAACTTGGGCCAGTATGCATGCGTTCAGGGTTCCACGTTAATTTGGTGTTTCTGTGTCTTACAGACTAGCGTTAAATCAGCATTCTAGTGATTAAAACTGAAATGAAACCTAGTTTAAGATGGGACCCAGATCATTGGTTAACCGATAGCTTGGTGGTGGTTCGTCAGTTGGAAACTTATGATGACCTGGGTTTTCTTGCAACTGTAGTTATCACTTCCATTAAACGCAAAAGGCGCGTTTATATAATTCAATAGCCTGGAACAAAACTTTTCAGTGGGTATTAGGCTTAAAGTAACTCTATAACTGACTAGATTGGGTGTGTATTCAACTGGCAGATTACAAGTAAAATTAAACATTATTTCATCAAGTCAATATTATAAAGTTAAAATAAAGGGAAATTAGGGGGGAAACAAAAAGATGAAACTTACTCGTTCATTTTGATAAGCTGTTACAGCTATAAATTCTGTTTCATCAAATATGAATGTAACAAAATCTGCCATATTCATTTTATTCAAATGATCTGCTCGGACAATATGAAATCTTGGGATATATTTATGCATCGAATTGAGTACAGCTTGCTGTGTATGCCAAAAAGAAGTTGGTTATGATACAGGATTAATAATAACAATCAATGGAATTAGGATAAACTACAATTTCTAAGAGAAAAAAGGGGTAATAAGATTGATTTTGCGAATTAACATTTTTCAATGAACAAACTTTATTGATTTTCCTTTGCAGATGAGACTTGTCGATTTGTCTAAGGTAGACTTTATTTCCACGAAATCAAGCTAAGTTGAAAAATATTTTAAACAAGATCTCTACTTATCGGTGGAATTAGAATCAATCATTCACCCACCTACTAATCTACCGTCCTCTGTCATGATCTTCATAAAAAGCCCTAAGTCTATGAAGCCTGTTACAAACAATTGTTTTGCTCGGAAGTTTCAGGAGAAAGCACATGAATCAATGTATGGATATTATTTTGGTTAAAAAGACAACAAATCAATAGGATTCAAATATAGAAGAGGCCTAGAAATAACCAAGGTAATTGGAAGTATATATAAACCCTTGTATTTTGAACATACCTTTAACGTTGCAATAAACTTTCTGTTATCTCACCTCCTTTTCCACTTATCGAGAAACTGAGCAACTATCAAGGGGTGGATAGTGAAATTTGTTGAAGCGTCTGCACATGTAGACAAATTAGGTTACACAAAAGTGGCGACGCCAGTTGGTATATCCTTGTGGTATATATATTATCGAACTCTTAAGGTTCACCCTTGAGAGTCGTTCAGTTCCTCGAAAAACAAAGTAGAGGCAAAAACGACGAGAGATCTATCGTCACGTTGAACATGTTCGAAAAGTAACGGTTTATATAAATTTTTCGATGATCTTGGTATGTCCTACACTTTTCTAGAAAGCCCTTTAGCCAATCTGAGGTTCACTCAGGTGATCATGAGGTTTTTCGCGAACACTCGGCCTACCATGATTAACTGTGAAGGCTTTTTAAGGAATTTTAAACTTCTTTGAGGCATCTAGGGGATATTTTTACACTGCATGACACTAACTAACGTCTTCCCAGCTGTATAACACTAAATACGTATATGCGTAGCTAGTTTTACTGACCTTCATCAACCCAATATAGTCAGAAGTCTTGGAAAATTGTAACGCTTCTTGGTTTAAGATAATCCCTACTTATCATTGTGACTATCTGAGATAGCCGTGGTTTGGCAGACTTGTGTTGGTACTGAGTGACGATTGAAGGTGAGATGAAAATTAGGACTGCAATGGGATTCGAACCAGCTGCGAACTGAGCTACGAGACGCAACTGTTGACCAGAATTTTGTTTTCATTCAATCACTAAGGATTCTGCCCGACTACCAATCGAATTCGTGATTGCAGTGAAGTAAAAATTTGGCCAGCAACTGAGTATCGTAGCTTAGTTGATAGAGCACCGGTCGGGAGAACTCGTGGTCGCTGGCTCAGATCTTCTCGCGACCCAAATTTTCATCTCACCTTCACTAATTCTTACCGTTGTTATCAAATCTGTAAGTCATTACTTTGTGTGATATACTCCAACAATATTGTATATTTACGAAACGCATATTTAAGCCAATGAAGCTGACAGTAGTCACCTGAATGTGTAACAAATGAGTAATATCTTCTAACACCATGGGGTAAGTTAGGCTTTTAATTACAAATGCACTAAGGTAAACGAAGGATGAGATTTCATTAATTTCGTTTACTATTTTGCAGACATTATTATCGTTTGACAAAGCTGGACAAATGACAAGATACTGTCTTGTATTCGTTTTTTCTACTCAATACAGCAGTCAACTTATTCACAATAATCGGCTCTTGGCGTCAAGAGAAGCAAACATCCAATGAAATTTCAAGTTTAATTTGTAAGTATTGAAAAATGACTGATATACAACTTTAATGTGGAATGGTGCTGTACTTTAAAGGTTGTAAAATAGCACTTTGCCTCCATTCGATTAAAAATTGAGTGACAAACAAATCACTTGATCACAGAAGGCATCTGTCTAGGGTTTTTCCGGATGAATAATACTAGAAGTCTAAGAGGTTATCAGGGGTACACCATTCAATATACAAATATTTACTTTGTTAGTGAATTACACCCATCAACCCTGAGGTCTATCAAAATAGAAGTGGAAATTACAAAATTAAATATATGAAAAAGTGACAACTTACAAAAGGTTGTCTTTCAGCAACATTGTTAGTTAGTTTTAATTTATGAAATGATATTGGTTTATGCATCCATTCTTCACCTGTTGTCGGGGAATCTGGATGAATGTAAGGCTTACGATATGGTTCAGGATCAGCTTTACCAGCAACCGTCCATTTACCATTTTGAAATTTATATCGATGTTCATCACGTGATATAATATCAAGTAACATGATATACTTTACATTCCTGTCTAATCCAGTTACTCGAACCTTGAATGATGGAAACATTCGACTAAAAAAAGAAATTAAACCAATGCAATGATGAATATAATTAGTTTTATTAAATGATTAGAAAAGGTTGTAATTAGTTTGTAAAGAATATAGATAGACTGTTGATTCAACAATGTATGGAAAGCGTGTAGATAAGTTACTCCGGTTTCAAATATTTCACCATAATTCATTTTCTTCCATTCAGCAAGTTAAAAAAAAGGTCGACAGTAGTTGCTATTTTGAGACACCATTCTTGAAATGCATCTAGCTGTACCACCTAAATGACTTTAAAGTTATGTAGGTATTCTGCAACAGCAACATGGGAAGACTTATTTGGTTCAGACGTCACTGCGCTAACTATCAACTAGACCAACTAACATGTTGTGCTCATTGACAGTCAACTTCACTATACACCATTACACATTTACATCTACCATAAGACCGATGATAAACTTCCTTAAAATTGAGAGATAACTTATTAGGTGTGCAAAATAGTGTTAGAATAGGTTATTTGATTTATAGTGAAATCCAGGATGCACGTTTTATCCCACTGTAGATTCATCAGCTACATGTGCATGTATCCTGTGAATGATGGTGTTCCTGTTGGAGCTCGAACCGAGTATGCAACGTTTCCACTAGGCTACTTATTCATGAGAGCGACCTGTTATGTAACCGGTATCATGTGTTACTTATTGATGCTTCAGTTCTCCGTCGATCATTATACTTGACTAAACCGATTGGTCACCCTTGGTATATGGGCTCCTTGAACGGATGATAAAGGTTACTGATCACTTTAGTCCAGTATAATGATCAACGGGTAACTATAACCATCAAAAGTTAATAAATGACAATCGTTGCACAACAGGTGGCTCTCACAACTCAGTAGCCTAGTGGAAACTTTGGGTACTGGATTCGAGCCCCATCGGGAACATCATCACTTGCGGGGATACAGTTACATTCATATGATGAATCCCAGATAGAATGAAACGCACATCCTAGACTCCAGTTCTAATCACCACTAGTCAAATAACCTATTTTAAAGTGGGTGATGATTGAAGGTAAGATTCGAACCAAATTTTCATCTCGCCTTCAATTATCACCCAGTACAAATACTAGTCTGCCAAACTACGACTATTTCAGATAGTCAAAATGATAATCAATATGATGCTTCCCCTCTCTAATTCACTTAGATTGCCATTGGGATGAGAAGTCCTGACTAGGCAACTAGTGTGAATTCGATCAAGCAGCAGTAAGGGGTCACGAATTCACATGATAGTTGAGTAAAACCCTGTCTTGTGATTGAAGTGAAATAAAAATCTGGTGAGCAGTTGGACGTCGTAGGTCAATTGGTGGAGCACTGGGTTGGTAACTTGGTGGTTGCTGGTTCAAATCGGGCTGCGGTCCAAAATTTCATTTCACCTTCAATCATCACCCAGTATAAACCTCTTTTCACACTATATGCGCTAAATCGTGAGCTGACGGAAGTTGGAAATATGGACCATTGGATTCTGACCCAGTGGCTCAGTGGTAACTTGCTGGCCACGGAACCTGAAGGTCACGGGTTAGATCCCTGGCGGGGTCCTGGATGCGCACTACTGAGGATTCCCATGCTAGGAGGAAACAGCTGTCCAGTGCTTCCAGGTTTCCTTTGTTCCTCCAACTGATGTCAGTCTACGATGAATAACAACTTGAACTATCAAGTTATCTTTCTTTTCCAAATAAGTTTATTATAAACCTGATGGTAGATAACAACTCAGACAAAATTATCGCCGTGGCTTCACCAGGTAACCATTATCCATCATTATCAGTTCAGACAAGTGTCGTCCATTATCTTAAGTGCTAATATGAAGAAGGGTTAACAATTGGGGAAATAGAGGATATCAATGATGAACACTTCCACGTGTGCACAGTACACATGCACAGACACAAATTTACATTCATATACCCCATCACAAATCAAACCAATGTATTCTAACTATACAGAATAGAATTACTAGATTTTACAATATAATATATTCTGATAAAAGACTAAAACCCTATATAGTGTGTCTGTTTCTTTATCTCTTTTGGACTTTCATCATCCTACTGAAATAATCAACATGTAATCTCCTTCCTTTGCGGTGATAATATCGGGAGAATTGGTTATCTTAGTAACTGAAGTCTTTTGTTAAAATTTTGTTTGTGATGCACATGTGTTTGTTTATTCCATCACTATGTGTGTGTCCGTGTGTGTGTGATAAGTTGAACTGTTCGTTAACAGATGAATGCGAAGAAAGGAAAGGGAATCAGATCATAAATTATTCTTATCATGGCTATTATTTTCAATATTTCACATTATATTGTACATTACATGTACAAGTCTATTGTGTTATATACAAATTATATACTTGTAAAAACAATGGTAACACAGTAACACTGGTGAAATATAATACATACAATGGTATATATATATACCTGGATAGTTCAACTCCTACAAGTGAACTCCATGAGACTGCTATTCACTGAAAGGTCATGTGCATAGTTTGCTCATGGAGACAGATTATAAGTGCTTTTATACGTCTTCATAAGAATAGATACACCCCGGTAACTATCACCACTTCAAATGATGTATAGAAACTGATAACAATGATATAAAAAACCCATTTTCACCTTGTTTATGTACTCTTTACGATTTATCAGTGTATAAATTTCTCTAAAAAGTGTACTGTGTGAAATAGGGACTGGAATAAAACACTTTTAACATTTTTCTCTCACATGCATACACATAGACTTTCTCTTTCAGTCTCTACCATCAATTCAGTTGTATAAAAATTCGGTGTTGAATCTGTTTTCACACAATTATAATCCTATCTAACATGGATATTTCTCATTTCTCTATTGTAGATAATATGACAAAAATAAACAGTAATGAAGTACATTGATTAGTTGCTGGAAGGTAAATAATTTCATATCGTCTTATCCTGAATGTTGACCGAATTCTACCGATCACTTGGTAATTCAGCCTAAATACCTTATTAGTTACGTCGCTGAGTGGTGCGGGTTCAAATCTTGAGAGAGATTTCACTTCCTTCAAGGTTGCAGATACACCTTGCTGACGAGTGCCAACAAGCACGAAACCTAGCTGGAAACATGGGTTCCTACAGATTGCCTCCAATCAGTGATGAAGTTCTCTACTAATCTTTATTATTATTGCTGTTGTTGTTGTTGTTGTCACTGCTATAGTTGTTATTGCTATCAGATATCGATAAAAGGTTGGGATTTATTTGAAACTTACCCACTACACTTCTGCTTAAGTAGACCACTATCAATCGTAGAACCAATGAAAACCTGGTAGCGATGGACAGTTGCTTCAGCCGAATTCGAGAACTCTTAATAGTCCACACCCATGCCTCCCATTAAATGTCAAGCTGAGGTAAGCACTTACGGTGAAGATACTGTGGTCCAACCAATGGGATGGAACCCAGCGGTTTATACCCTCCAACCTATGTAAAGTCAAGATATCCAATAATGATTGAAGGTCAGCTGAAAATCATCAAGTCCTTTGCCCGACTGCCATGTCAATTAGTGATGAGTTACTATCCGTCCATCGTATTCACATTGGCTGCCGAGTCAGGACTTCTTATTTCAATCCAAATCATCCTGAATTACAAATGGTGAGTATCATATTGATTATCAGCTTGACTATCTGAGACAGCCATAGCTCAAATTTTCACTTCACTTTCAATCATCATCCAGTATCAGTCCAATTCTGACAAACCACAGCCATATCAGATAGTTAAACTGAAAATTCAAAATCCAACTTGGTCGGCCCTTCAGGTAATGGTTTCTTGATCGATTAGTTTCACTGAGGTTTTTGCAGTGGGTTGATATCAGTTACAGAAGCATTGAGAAAGTCGAGGCAGCGGACAGCTATTTCGTACTAGTTCTGGACTCCTCAGCTGTGTTCATCCACGTCCCTCTGCGATGCGATGTTAACCAAAGGGACAGCATTTAAAGAGAGTAGTGAGTTACTTGACATCAGTCTCATCTGATCGGGAATAAGCCACCAAAAGATTTTTATCAGCGATTGGACTATTTCAGACAGATTTGATTGGAAGAACTTTTATTGGTGATACATACATCAGTATATCTTCTAAAACTGTCCACGATAATATCACTAATAGGCACTTATTATGATTTATCTGAAACATAATTCTGGTAATTTCCAATGCATTGAACACATATGACATATGAAAGTGATTGTTGCCATGATAACTTTCAACAGAAAAAAGGTATTCATTATTGTATGAAAACAAATCCGGTCTGTACTCTATGGCTGAAATATTTATGATATACAGGATAAAATATCATACTATATCTTCAGTTTCTTCGTTCGATTTATAAGTAACAGAAACATATGAAGTTCTTCAGCCTTGAATGATTTTGTTTAGCTGCATTTACCATTGAACAAACAGTAGTTTTCATTCAATCCTTTTTTACATTGGTAAAGATATTCCATCATTTACTATCGAAACTTTTGACAAAATAACATACAATAAAATTCAGCTTTTCTTCAGGTCTATATTGCCTATCTATACACCTTCAGTCTACTTGTTAATTTTCGCATCTCTCAGACAGACACAAGTGAGATTTACTTCAATAATATCAAAATTACAAAACCTTTTCCTGCCTTGTTCTCTTATTTCCCTTCAGTGGTTGGTTAGTTAGTTAGTTAGTTACCTAATACATTGATAAAAAACAATGATGAAGTAAAGAGTTGGGTATGCAAGACCAAAATTTCTCTCCTATTTAATCTAAGCTGCTAAGAATGCATCGATGAGTATGTTTGGTGTGTGTGTGTGTGTGTGTGTGTGTGTGTGTGTTTATGACGAATAAATCCAGTCCTCGTGTAGCGTTCACTGAACTTTTGTATATTGTCCCTCTTCGCATGTTATGTTTAAAAAAATATTGACTAATTAATTATGTGAGAGAAATGAAACTGTTATATCAGTTATTGTCATGATAATTTGAAGTTATTTTTGT